TATATGCCCAATAGAATTGTATAACAAAATTGACAGTCGGCTCATCTAGAATAAAAATTGTCGTGTATCTTGTACTTTATCATCACTAGAGAACAAAATGATTAGGCACACACTTGTTTCTATTTGTTTTTCTCGATGAGAACAAACCGATGCTTTTGATTGTTCACGAATTGGATTCCAGTTTGAGCCACACTAACTAGGAGGAAGTGTAGGGATTAAATTTTGGGATAATGAAAAATTGTGATGGAACTCATATTTTTTTGGGAACTGTTCTCCTTGGGAGCAATCCAACGTCACAAACTGCTTGTGATTTCATCTCCTTTAAAAGTTATAATGGCTTTTAGAAGATTTAATCTCCAAAATTTCCCCAACAAACTACATGCAAATCAGAATACTTTTTATAGACTTTTTCATTGCAGTCTCTTTTTGTCTTTCTTGTCCAAATTTTTTCGATGTGAAACTTTGTCGATTTTATTCTTGGGAGATTTTTTATTATTGAAATTTTCTGGCTAAATCTATAATGTTTCTATATTTTATGATTTTTTATGAATGTACTTGTGGTTGAAAATTCTGAATTTTTTTGTGATTTGTTGGGAATGTTTGATACTATTTCTGGATAAATTTTTTTCTTGTGTTTTCGTTTAGGTGGGTAGAAAATTTCTCAAACCAAAAAAAAAAAAAAAAATTTGTCTTATGCTAATTTTTCATCTTAAAAAAATTGTGGCATCTTATATGCTTGCCACACATTGATAGTTTTTTGGAGATGCTTCTTTGTATGTGTAGAGATCCCACAAAAAATGAACTTTGATGGAATAAAAGATGGAAAATTGCTTTGATAAAGGTAAAATCATGAAAATCACTATGCAGAGCGATAACACCTTGCCTCCGAGCATTATTCTTCTTGCACCAACACTCGTCATGGTGTACATTGCGCTAGACGTTATTGATGTGAGCAAACGGCGGATTTATTATAAACTTGGTTAGATTGCTAGTAGATTGATTCACAACTAATGGATGGTTTGTACTACCTACATCATTGAGATCATTGTTCAACGACAGTGCAAGTAGAGGGATTGTCTTTACTTTGGTGCTTTCATATTGATGTCCTCTGATATGGAGTTGGTCCTGAGAAAGAAGTGTTCAAGCAGGACCGCATTGAAATGTGTCTGGTGAGTAACAAAGGAGACACATAATTTTCTTTTCGGATTCTTCCATTTGATGCACCCGTGAGAGATGATCCTTAAGTTGCCTTTTGAATGATTTTTCCTGTTGGGAAGAGGCAAAGTAATAGTTGGATTAGTAGTTGTATATTTTGTAAAGTGATCTTTCAATTTACGAGAATTATAGTGAGATGCTCTAGTGTTCATTTTGCATGCTTGTTATTGGAGATGAATTAATTATTGGTGAGGCAATAGGGGAGGCTGGAGGTTGCTTCCCGCAGATGAGGCCAATTTTTGTGTGCTAGAAAATTTATGGTGATAGATATTGAGAGTTATCTCTTTAGCTTGCATAGAGATCTCACTCTTACTTAGTAAATAGAGTTAAAGTTATGCAGGTCTAGATAAGCTTGAAATTTTTTATGTGAAAACCTAGATGAAAAAATCATGATGTCTTACCCAATTAGAATGGATCTACTAGTGTGGATTGGAGTATACAAAGGCTCAACCTGCCCCATAATTGGTGTGGTGGAATGCAACATAAAAATTCAGTTGAAGATTGTCTCTTAAAGTAATTGTGGGAGATGGTGATGTTGATGAAGTAGGATCACAACTGAAGTTTGGTGTAGGTCACCGACAAAGATTGTTCAACTAGGACGTTGGGTGACATTGGTTGGCAGATGTTTCATATTGACGAAGAGGTGACAATTGGCATCAGGAGCAAGATGTTAGTTAACGAACATCAGCTTATATAGAAGGAGATTATAATCCTTTGGAGATAATCTTGAAGTTGCTTCGTTGGAATGATTTTGCCTCTTGGGAAGAGGCAAAGTAATTGTTGGATCAGTGGTTGCCTAGTTTGTAAAATGATCTTAAGATTAACGAGAATTACAATGAGACGCTCTAGTTTTATGGTGATTTTGCTCGCTTGTTGTTAGAGATGAATCAATTATTGGTGAGGCAGTAGAAGGCTGGAGGTTGCTTTGCAGTTTGCACAGATGAGGCCAATTGTTGCGTGTTAGAAATTTTATGGTGATAGAAATGAGTGTTATCTTTAGGTTGCACGAAGATCTTGCTTTGAAATAAATAAATAGATTTAAAGTTCTGTAGGTTCAGAGAGCTTTGAAAATTTTTATATGAAAAACCTAGACAGGAGAAACCATTGGGCCTTGCCTAGTCGAAATGGATCTACTAGTCTTTATTTGAGTATACAAAAACTCAACCTTCCCCATGACTAGTTTGGTAAAAATAAAACATAAAAACTTAGTTGAAGATTGTCTCTTAGAGTAATTGTAAGAGGTGGTGATATTCATTGTTTAAAATTGCACAATATGAGGCTTGCCTCAACACAATTTCAATGAAAAATGTCTCATGGCTTACGCCTTGAGTTTATTTTATGAGGCTTGCGCCTCAGCTTGGTTGAAGCCCCCGCCTTGAGGCATACATCGCCTCATTGGCGCAAGGCTTACGCCTCACCAATTTATATATTTTTTTAATTTAAAACTGACATAAATCCTAAAGTAAAGCCCCAAATAAATCACACATTCATGCACCCCTGAGTCGCAGCCATCATTGTCATAGCCGCTATCAAGGATCACTTGAAAGCATCACACCACCACATCCTTTAAAAATTTTGGAGTATTAATCTCATTTTTATGTTGATGAAAAATATTTATGAAAGAGGAAGATGATTAAAATAAATGAAGAAAAAGCATACATAGGATGAGACAGGGGAGAGATCAATTTGTTATAATAATGACTCAAATAAAGACCCCCCTCATGATGAGATTTTGAGGCTCACGTCTCAAAACGCTTTGAGTCTTACGCCTCTCCTCACGAACAAAAAGCGCCTCAATACCCAATTGCACAATTTTAAACATTGGTGATATTGATGAAGGACGATGATTTTAGTCAACAATGTTGAAGAAGGATGACGATTGAAGTTTGATGTAGGTCATTGATGAATGCTGCTAAGCTAGGAAGTTTGGTGACATAGGTCGGCAGATATTTTGCATTGGCAAAGATGTGATGATTGGCGTCAAGAGTAGGATGTTGGTCGTTGAACATCAGTCTATGAATGTTTGTCGGATAGAAGGAGATGAATGTCATATGACTAGGATGCTAGCCTATAGGAGTATGTTAGTGGACATCGATTGATGGATGTGAAGTGATAGGTTCATGGATGGAAAGTGATAGGTTGTATTCACTTAATGGAGATTTGTCATAGAACATCAGTTGGTGGTTGGCTTTGGGAGTAAGTATTTTGGTTAGTAATTGATTTATGATGAAGAGGGATGACTAGCATCAATTTACAAATGTCAGTTGGTTGCAAACATTGTGTGATGTTTTCTGCAATTGCTTGTGGATCTGGAAACATCAAGATGGTTTTCTGGTGGCTTTGGAATAAAAACTCTAGAATTCTCTATGATTTTTTTAGTGCTACCCTTTTAGAATAAGAAAAAATAAGGATAATTAAGAGTTATTTATATATTTGTGGGGTTTAATTCAGTTCTTATTTAAAAATATCCCGGAATACTCCTTATTCTTATCAATTATTAGCATTCTAGATCATACTCTTCATTGATTGAAAAGTGTTATTGGATGATTCCACCCCTAAAAGATGGATTGATCGACTTGACCAAACCATGACTGGGTTGGGGGATCAACTAGCTAATAACCAATGATGGTTCAACGGCATATTTCGCTACTAGTCTAAAATCAAAAGATAGATGGCACCAACTTGAAGCTCTAGACATCATGAGTGCAGAATAGTTGATGCATAAAAATTCAACGGTTGGATTGCCTGAAACGATACTTGAGGCATAGAACATATTTTACAATCATTAGAATATGATAACATATGAAATGGATTTGTTTCTTTTGATGAGAGAAAGCCAACACCACTAATGTTTCATGAATTGGATGTATGTGCGAGCTACATTTATTTTGAAAAAGCTTAGGGATCAAATTTTGGGCCACCATTTTTGTTGCAAAATGTTCTCCTTCTCAAAGTAATCTAGTGTCACGAATAACTTGGGATTTTGTCACCTATAAAGGTCACATATTGGCTTCGTGAAGTTTTGATCTTCAAATTTTCTTTGGTAGCTCCTTATCAATAATCAAAATCGGATCCACACTCCTCCCAAGGAGAGGAATTCATAGGTGGTCACGATCGAATGCTTGGTTGGTGTTTAGGAGATTGTTACTATCTTTCATACGCACAACCTGCATGTACATGCACATGCACATGTGAGCAAGGAGGGGGTCAGCCAATTGAGGGCCCTAAGTGCTTGTATTCGTGCAATTTTGGTATGGTTGGATTTGTATCATTGACATGCATGGTCTACATCATAAATCTGCTATAAGCCTATAATCTAAGGGCTTTTGAAATTTTTTTTTTTTAAGTTTTTTTAACTCAATTTTATTTAGTTTTTGGATCTGAAAAAACCTTCGTAATTATGTTGATTTTGCAAGCAACATCGATAAGCATTTTTGGAATCCTAAGGCAGCCATGGATTTGAAATGCTAACATTATCGAAAATTTCATGCCATCAACACTTTTGCTTCTGCTAACCTGAAGGTTACAAGAATTCTTTTTCTCAAAATAAATTATTTGTTTTGGATCGTTTTCTCTTTAATGAGAGTAAACCAAGGGGATGCTGCTCACAGGACATGATCTTATGCCTTTTAAAGCCTTGTTTTGTTTTTCATCGTGTAATAAAGGCCCATTTCTTGTTGCTTTGGTGAGACTTGATCTTGTAGTTTGCTTTTTGGGTTTATAAAAGCTTTCATCTCACATCTCATTATGAGGATTTGGTTTGATTTTTAGATCTTGAATTTCAGGACTTTGAATGGATTCGCTGGAGTTGATGCTCGAAGGAGGATGTCTGCAGAGCAAGGACCTACAGTTGTTCACCAAAAGCCGGGCCCTCTACAAACCATATTTGATCTTCTTCCAGATGAGGCAAGTTCTACTTATTTATATTTGTTTATATTTTTTTTTTGCTCTAAGGACTTTAAATCTACCTCAGGCTGTTGAGCACAGTTACTCATGCGCACTTGAGAGGTCTTTTCTATATCATGGGCGAATATATGTCTCTTCATGGCATGTTTGCTTCCATTCAAATGTATTTTCTAAGCAAATTAAGGTGAGCTAGCCTTCACTTTTTGATTTTCGCACAGCAAACTACTCACTTTTCTCTGAATATTAAAGAGTTGAAAACTACTCTGATATACTTTTTTTTTCATTGCTTCATTTGAAAGAATTTATTGCTGTTTTTCTTTGAAAATATGCTCATTGGTTTACTAGCGTTGAAGGCATTTTTTTCTTCTGAAAAATTATTTTATTAATATCTTTTGGTCATGTGACATATGTAATATATATATATAGTTTTTAGTGGTTTATTCATCCTTGCTATTTTAATTGTTTATTATGATGTTTGCTTTTATGATCCAAAACACATGGTTGCAATATTAACAATATCAAGCCAAAGATCAAGGATTGTAATGTGGGTTTGTTAGGTATAACTTAAGGCAATGATGATACAAATTAAGATTTTTTTTATAATGCACAGACATTAACACAAGTTATGAAGACGGACACAACACAAACATGAGGGTGAGCCTAGGGAATTGAGGCTTATATTCTAGTAATATGGGTTAGAGGAAATGCCTAGAAATGTGAGAGTTTATGATGTAACTAAAAAGAGTGTTGGCTTCAAACCCTAGATTTAAGGTGAGAACCATTGATATGTAGTAACTGTAGCCTACATCTAGCAAAGTGCGAGGAATTTATAAACTTGAAACCCCATATGGAGCTAAGTCAGCTTGGCTCTGGAGTTGCAATCCTGCTTGGAAAGGACTGCTAGCTAACCTACTTAAATGCTTTTATAATCATGAAATTCAATCTCAAATGCATATGTAGGACAGGGAAGGCTGTTTTAGTTTAGATGATAAGACTTATATTTAGATCACTTAAATCAAGATGCCTGATCATATGAGTATGTAAATACTGATTCACAAAGATGTTTTTGTTATTTGGTCCTTATGTGAGGGCTTTTACTTGTGATTCATTGGGCTATGCATGATCATTTTCATTTTTTTTTTTAATTTTGAAAATTAGGCTGATTTGAGCATGTCATGCAATTTAGTAGAAAATTTATGTTATCCTATGTTACCCAAACCCAATCACACGGACAACACCTAAATGGGGCCGTAATACCTAACCCAAACCTAAACTATGAGCAACTTCTAAATGGAACCATAAGTCCCTACTCAAACTAAATAACAAATATATATCCACTTCAGTTTACTCGGGATCCCTGAGAGGAAATAATCCATGCTGCTAATTAGATTCCCTAGACACTACGATCAATGGTCGCTAGTATTATTAGACTGAGCTCTACAGTATCCCCGGGATGACGAAACCATGGGATCTTGATTGGGTCTACCTTCATTCCCCACAACCAGGGTTCAGAACATTCACACACTGTTTCACACACATTTGAACTTTGTGCATTAGGCTAAATTTAATTTCATCCTTAATCGAGAGTGTTCTTCTATGCGTTATGAGGGGTAATTAATTATGAGGGCTTGCGGTCATAGGAAGTAGGACTCAGATCTAAATAAACCCTGACACTACTTTCAGGAAAAATTTGGTTAATTTAAAATTCAATCTACCTCAGGAAAATAAGGACCTTAAGCTTGTGAGAGCGAGATCCGCGCCTATTTTCCCGAGGGAACATACCTGTACATTTTATTTATTCTAGTTAACTCAAATCCTTCATATTACTTCTAGTTACATGGTTTAACCTTTTCCCATACTTGCCCCATTTATATAAACGGTTGATTGTTTCTTCAAAGATTTTTTTTTTTCTATTTGTGTTGTTGTTACATTCGCAAATGCTGATCTCGTTACAATTGCACTGATGTAACCCGTACTTATTTTAAATCCCATGTACATTATAACGATGTACTTACGATAAACTTGCTTTTTTATTATTGTGAAGCCATATGTGAAAATTTAACTTATTAATTTGGATGATATTGCTGCCAAATAAGTCCAGCGAATTCAACAAGTGGTAGAGGGTAGAAAGGAAACAATCTGAAATACTGGTTATGATGGTTGATTATGCAGTTTGGTAGATGGTAGAGAAAGGAAACGATCTGAAATACTGGTTGTGATGGTTGATAATGCAGTTTCAACTTACCTAGGTATAACATTGAACCAAATTTTGCGGTTTACAAGTTTTAGGATGAGGCATGTTTCAATAAACATTTGTTTGAGGTCGCTTGATTTGATTTTTTATTGCTGACATTTGTCTCTGACCAAATTTAGTTATGTTTTATTTTCTGGGCCTTAGAAGTGTTAAAGTTGCTATTATTCTGTAGCTATGAAAAAAAAAGTATTTCATCTATCTATTTATACGTGTTAAATTTTACTACTCGAGCTACATTACTGATATTAGTTTTATTCTAGTAGGTCGTTATTCCCATTGGAGACATCCATGAGGTATGTTTGCTGTATTTTACCTTTTATTTACGTATTTTTTTGTTTATCCTATGCATATAGTTCACATGCAAGGGAACGTTGAAACTACCATTTTATTAGCAATGCAGATAAAGAGAAGCCAACATGCATATATCAACCCAGCAATAACAATAATTCTTCGCATGGGATCTGGTGGTCATGGTGTACCTCCTTTAGGAAGTCCAGATGGTGATGACTAATTTTTTACTGTATATCTTTCAAAAGTTTGCATGAAAAATATGCTATAGACGTAAATTATGTTCTCAAATTTGTATATTCTACTTGGATATCCACTAAGTTGTTATCTATACGTTGTAAACTTGGTGTTTCTTAATTTTTCATACCTCTTCAACAACGTATGATTCATTTGGTTATCGTTTGTTAACTAACATCCATAATAAAAAAGTTATGATTCATGTGATTGCAAAACAAAGTTTGAAGTTGGCGAGCACAATTATTTTAAACCTTTTCTTCAGGCTTCCTTCATCAGTTTGTTTTTATTCTTTATTTTACACTCTCTCTGCTCTGCCTTTGTGATTGTATTCTAGCTTTGTTGGAAGGATCTCCTTTGGAATTCTCATTTGGTGGTATGTGATGTTCTAATTTATCCCTAGCTCGGTTTTGAAGTTGCAGTTTGTGTTATCTTACAGAATCATATTATACTTGCAAATTGAATGATTTGAGAATAAATTGGCTAGGTAGTGGCATCTAGGATTTGATATGTATAAGGAATGTTTTTCTGATCAAAGTACGGTTATAATAGATTGTAATGATTATCCGGGGATGCATTTAATCTTTTAAACCACCCATTTGAGGATATAGGAGAATGAACAACTATTCATTTATGTGTCCATTAAAGCTGTGCTTAGATTACGTGCGCTGTTTATTTTATTTATGTTTCATTGGTTTGATTTGTCACTAGGAATACTGAAGTCTTTATGTTTAAAACCCTTTGTATAGTTTCCACTTGGAGAGAAGGTGGAGAGTTTGATGATTACATGATATATAAGTTACAAGACCTATGTGCAAATGCATTTTTTATGGATGATATTATTTTGTTGGTGTTTTGCACTAATTATAGCTTGCAATCAAATAAATTTTTATTTGATAGTTTTTAATCAATATTGTTTTGGCTCAGTCTTCTGGTTAACATTTATGTTCAATTTTGCGCACATGCTAAAATTGACCTATACAGTGTAAAATTGCACGAACCAATAGTGTTTTTTTTTTAATTTAAGGAGAAACAGCAGAATCAAATTATTTTTTGTAATATGTTAATTTAAACTCCAGATGTAGAGCATTCTAATTCGATATGTAAAATTATAGAAACCTTTTCTAATTAGAAAATGATTTCCGTCAAACATTTGGATATGAGAATTTCATGATGACTTACATACTGAACTGGCAATGCCTCATTTATCTGATTGTTCTCTAGGTAGAGTGAGGTACAAGTTTGCTTCCTTTTGGAACAGAAATCACACACTTAGAGCCCTACAACGTGCTGCTAAGAACTATCGGACAATGCTAGAAGCTGAGAAGCAGGTTTGATTCATTTCTTTTGGTGAAATAATTAATTTCAGCGTTGTATTGGCTGGTTATGATACGTCTGGATCCCTGAAAAAGCATGTATCAACTATATTCATTTAGTTAAATAGGTGATACTGTACTTCTAACAGATTCAAAAATTAAAGTGAAGCATTTAAACGGAACCTTCCAAAATTTAAGGATGGAGAAGATTTAAATTACTTTCTTACTGTCTCTATTTTGTAATTTCTCAGATAATAATTTTCTTTTCTTATGGTGAATAAGCGCATGTAACTTTTAATGTGTCTCCACCACTGCTATCAAGCTGGCTATGATTCCTGTTGTATTGAAATTTTTGGTAGGATGAAGGCATGATTTCACATATCATATTTCACTTTACATTCCTTTTCCTTCTGATGAATTGGCATGGAGCAATAGACAAGTTCATCTTTCGTATGGAATTTAGATACCTATTCTTAAGATTTTGACCTGATCCTGAACCTCTATTCAGAGTTGCCAGCTCCATTTGATCATTTGATGGACATTTTTTTTATTGGTAATTTTTTTTTTCATTTTACTTCATTTAGTTCTCCTCTCAATTTCTATAATCTACATTGAGATAAAACCTTTAATTTTCTCCCGACTATTCACATGTGCCCAGTTTAGATTTAGGCTATCACTTTTCTCCAATTTAGTAGCTTGTTGTCGTTAGAGAGAAAAATGCAGTTTAGAGGGAACTGGAGCACATCCTTGAGTAGAGAGATTGAAGTAGTCCGTCATTGGAGAAAGCTAAGCGTGAAATTAAATGGAACTAGTGGATTTATCTTGTTGTTGCTACAAGTATTTTCTATGCTGTTGCGGTTATGGTGTGCTTCTGCTGCGTTGGTTGGGGACTTAAGTAGATCTAGAATTTAAATTAATAATATAATAAAATTTATGCCGTTTTATGTAGTATTATTAGTTAGTAATTTTATTGTTTACTATTTATCGGGTCTGTTAACTGAGAGAGTTTCACTATTTTTAAATTGAAAAGGTTATTCATAATTTTGATTTTGAGTTTGATAGAGATATTTTATCATTTTAATTTAAAATTGAGAAAAAAATAATGGTTATTTAAATTGTGTTGGAATTCATAGGATTTTCGCAAATGTATTTTAAATGTGATGTTGAAATTTAAATATATTATTATTATTATGATTTTTTTAAATATCATTTTAACTTCACATTTTGTATTTATATACAAAATATGACATTTAAAAAATATGATTTATGTGCAATAACTTATTGTTTTTAATTATTTTGAAAATTTAATTAATTTAAAATTAAAATGCAATAAAGATCATTGCTCATAATTTGTTTTATTTTAAAAAATTGGGTTTATCTATAACACACAAATTGAGTCAAAGTCCTTAACATGAACTAAGCCAACCATCCTCCTGCAGCATGAAAAGTTGAACATGGTTAATTGCAAACTGACATTTAAATATGAGGAATATAGAAATTTAAGAAAGAAAAATGCACAAATTCTTGCAATAGCTAAAATACCCTCAAAGTTAACTTTAGGTTCTAACTTTTATCACATTTTCCATATCTTTAGCTGAGTGGCTAATTGGGATTAATTTCCCAGAGTCGAGAGACAAAGCTGGAGACTGTGGATAGTTTGGGATTGAATTGGACACATGCAAATAGTTGGAGGATCATTTTAGGCTTTATCTCAATCTATATCTAAATATTCATGTTCATAAAATAGACTAGAACATCTTCCAATTCTTTGTAATTAATTTAGAACTACTGTCTTTGTGAAATTTGAGCTATGCATTGAATTATTTTGAAAGCAAGAAATCTTTTGCTAAGTTCTATACTTTAAACTAAGCATGGAGCAAATTTTGCTTTCTTAGTTTTTTAAGTTATTCAATATATGAATTTATATTTAATTTGACATATACTGAAAATATTTATTAAAAAAAAACAATATTAGGCTTTCCTGATTTATGCTACATGATCATTTGTGCATTCTACATTCCTAGGACGTTTGAAAGTTTGTTTGTTGGTTATGTTTCATGGATGTAGGCCTGTCGGACTTAATAGTTGGAAAATGAACTTGACAATGCCTGTTGGAATGCAGGAGAATGCTCAATCAGCATTGCGTGCTCACAGTAGCTCAATTAGAAGTAGTCGAAAGCCTGTGGACATACCAGAAGAAAATGTAGCTGAGACTGGAAAGTTACAGGATTTCGTCAAAGAGGATGTTCTAGTTGGCATAGTTAATGTATATATCATGCTGATATTTCTTCCTTAATTTCCTTTTATTTGTAACTAACTGTTTTCCCTTTTCTTCGTCTAGGATACTTTCCCATGCACAGCCGAGGAGTTCTTTACTTTGTTATTTAGCGATGATTCAAAGTTTATTGATGAATATCGTTCAGCTAGGAAGGACACAAACCTTAACGTATGTGATATTTCTTTCTATTTATAGGTGTTAGCATATTTCAACTAGGAATTTTAGCCCAAAGGATATCTTAATCTGCAGTGATTTTTTACTATACTTTCATAAAAGCTTGCAATCTCCGTTCTATTTAGTCATGTCGCTTTTGATTTACTTGTACTTAATTCTTCAATTTCTGTGCTACAAGCTTCCTCTTGGATTAATTACTTTATGTAGATTATATGTATATTACAAGTTGAATTACATTTGACTGTTTTTTCGGAGCTGAGGTTGTTAACATTAACAGGATGTTCTAGAAGCATTTTATCAACTACGTGTACAATTGAAAATTTTCATTGCTGTTCTGGATTAGACTTCAGCATGCAATTCCTTAAATGTAAAAGAACTCTGTCGCAGGAATGTATATATATGATGTAGAACTAAATGCATGGGAAATTATGCAATGTCAAAATTACGTCTTTTTTGAATTAAAACAATAATAATTATGTTGGCTTCTAGTGATTTTAACAATTTTAAAACAATAGAGAGATGATTAAAACTTAGGCCAAACTACATGTAAGCATTAGGATCATGAATTAATCAATTATAATCAAGATTAGCATAGCATGGGGGACTTTCAAAGGAAATCCCCGAATTAACAATAAGATTAGGCACTACTTGGATCCACTTACTCTCTTGATGTAGGCTAAACGGAAATAGGTTGTACAACCTTTATGATGCCACAAATTAAGGGAAGACTTAGAAAAATAAAAGACTTGGAGGAGAAATTCACCTTGAGCAGGATTTGGAAACGATCTGCCACTGAACAGAAGAGAGTTGTTCATCGATAGCGGCAGCTAGGGTGAAGGTAATCCTTTCGACGTAGGCTTCTACTATTTGATCGATCTCTACGTTGAGATCTAAGAACGGTGGTTTGAGGATATCAACTTGACCTTGATCATTGTAAACAAACCTGTGGTCATGTTCTGGGTCAGCCATACATGAGTGGCCAGCTACTAGGAGGGAACGGAAACTCTTGGGCAGCAAGGAGTGGATTTCCGAAGAGCAGGATAACAATTTCTCTTGCTGAAACTCCCTGGAGAGCAGCCTAGCAATGTCCAGAAAAATCTGGATAGCAACTGTGGGATGCCGGAAGCTCTTGGACAGCAAAGAGTGGTCTTCCGACAAGCAGGACAGCAAGTATTCTGGCTGAAAGTTCAGGACAACAGGGAGAAATCTGCACGCATAAATTCTAGACAGCACTTTTCCAATGACATAAATCCGGACAGCAGTTGTAAATGGATCTAGGCGCCAATGGCTTGATGTGGTCGGCTATTGGAAAGAGAAATTATCAATGTTTGGAGAGGAAATAATTGGGGAAATAAAAAAGAGAGGAACGGGAACCAAAAGGGGAAGGGAGGAGAGAGGAGGCCGGCGGCTTGCTTGGGAAGGGGGACTTGATTTGGGGATTTTAATGAGGTGTTTTAATGAGACAGGAGAGAGAGGGAAGGGGCAGCAGCCCTTTATGGGCTTGATTGTGGGATTTAATTGAAGTAATAATCAATTTCTAAGTTTGGAATATTAAATTAGGAAAGGGATTTAATTCCAATCCTTATTTAATATTCAATTGGCATGATTTGAGGGACCTTCCAAAGATAATTTCCCTTATTTTAGGAAAGAAATTTAAATTCAAATATGTGGGAATTTGAATTTAAAATAGTTTCCAAATTTAGGGGAACTAATTTAGGAAAGTAATTAAATGCAAAGTTTGGAAAGTTTGGGAATCTCAAGGAGGGAGGAGGTGGCCGGCGGCTATAGGGAGGGAAGGGCTTAGGGTTTGGGTGGCGGGTAAGTGGAGGGGAGGAACCTTGGAGCTGGCGGCTTGGAGGTGGAAGATGGGGTGGCCGGCCGGGTTTTTGTGATGGTGGGGGTTTTGGCCGAGAGATGGAGAAGGGGAGGGATGACCGGCGGTTTAAGGAGGAGGGAGGGGAAGGATTGGGGGAAAGAGAAGGACCACGAACCTGGAAGTTTCCTGCGGTTGGTGGGTACTACTTGCCCTCTCATAGGGTTCCACTCTCAAGAGAACTCTCTCAACTCTCAAAGCTTGTAAGAAAATAATTTTCTGAATTTTTTTTATAATAATCTTCATTATCCTCTCCAAAGGGGAGGATGAGATATAAATAACTAATGTTTACAATGACTAAATAAAAGACAAATTCCCCTAAGGGTCACAAACAACTATTCTCTCAAGTGAGAATAGAAACAGAAAAATACATAAATAAATCAAATACATATAATAACTCAAAAATAAATCGGTGCGATCATGGATGTAGATCGTCGGCCCCGTCTCTGGTAAACTCTCCACGGTCGGATGTCTTCATCAATGTATATATATATATAGGCCAGCACATTTTCTGCAGCATGGAATTTTTGTATATTCAGGCTAGCACGTTTTCTGCATTAGCAACAGTTGATGACATATTTTAATTTATGTTGAGATGATTAAATATTTATTGTAATACTCATTTTCTTTACAGATGGGCCAGTGGCATGTTGCTGATGAGTATGATGGCCAGGTTCGAGAGATAACGTTTAGATCAGTTTGCCATAGCCCCATGTGTCCTCCAGACACTGCAATGACAGAGTGGCAACATGCCGTTCTTTCTGCTGATAAGACTTCTTTGGTGCGAGAAATTGATTTAACCAATATGTTAACCTTGAATATTGCTCTAATTAGATTGATCATCTTTTTTTTTTTTGTTCCTTTTGAAGTGATTTTCTTCTCTCTGACCACCTACATGTTATTTTTAATGTCTTTTGAAGATTTGTTTTAATGTAACTAATTATGGTCTCTCAAAATTTTCAGGTTCTTGAAACTGTGCAGCAGGCACATGACGTTCCATTCGGGTCTTGCTTTGAGGTATTTAGAAGTTCTTCCTTGATACTATTAGATTCATCCTAAACAAAGTTGCTAGTTTGGTTTTTGAATTTGCTTGGCCATGGCTTTTTTAACCTGTATAGCCAGTTTTACTTTAAACTGTTTAACAATCCTTAAGGAACGATTCAGAATTACCATTGAAGTGTTAGAATTGTTAGAATTATTGTCACTGTATTAATATATCTCAAATGCTTAATATTTTTGGAAATTTGTAGTATTGATTATTGTATTATATCCCTATTACGGAAGAAATTCTCTTTTGTTGTACATTCATTATCACTCTATTTTTTTGCCTTTATGTGTGCATGTTTGTATTAAATAAAGATGTAGATTCTATATTTTTTGTCATGGTATATGAGCCATAGTTTTAAGTCTTCGTCTCTCTTGAAAATCTTGCGAGGATCCAGCAATCGTGATTCCCCCTCTTTCACTTTCTTGAGCGCTTGGATTGAGAACTAATTTACTTTGCCTTGTTGATCTAGTGCTTGGATCGCTTGCTTCCTATTTGAGTGATCTCGTAAAGTTCCTTCTATTGTGCTTTGCCCTCGCAATGATGCTACTCACTTGATGCTTCATGATACATGCTAGACCCATCACCCGCACAATTGTTGCCACTCTCTTTGCCTACGCGAGTGTTCTATGCCCACTCAGGTAAACTCGTTAGGCCTGCGTGCGGTCGGTTGCATGACTCTCAATGCTTCTCGCTAGTCTCACTTGCCCACACATGCACTATTGCTTACAGCCACTTGCACATGGCACATAATGTCTTCATCTTAGTTTCTTATTCGATTATCCACAAGGATCCCATGAATTTTCGTGAATTCATGGAGATCCGATGAAGATCTCGTATCGTGACGATTATCCCACCTTTTATCTCGACAACAGTTGGCCCAATGTCAATCTTGTAATTGTTCCCATTGTTTGGATAGCATTTTTACAAGTTTTTAAACAGCTCTAGGTTTGAATCTCATGGTTCTTCTCACAAACTCTCAATACTCTTTGTTAATTTGCATTATGAGTTTGTCGGAGGATGTTAGAATTGTTTGTTACTATATTAATGTAATCATATATGCTTAATATATACTAGAAATTTGTTTTGTTAGTTTTTATAATATATCGTCATTGTGGAGGATAGATTCTCTTTTTTTGTGCTTTCTTAATTGATGTAATCTCTTGCCTTTATTTAGGCACACATGTATTAGCATTAGGAGTATCCAAACAAAGATGTAGATTTTCATATTTTATGGTAGGAAGGTTCTAGTTAGCATTTGGTTTTACGATACATTTGTAAAAGATTATGTTCCCATTTTTTCACCATACATTAGTAAAAGATTATGTTGAACTTTATGTGGCCTCATAAATTAATTATATGGCTTACAGAATTTTCATTCCAGATTCACTGCAGGTGGCTGTTGGAAACAACTTCAGAATCTTCGTCTAAATTAGAAATAAAAGTTGGTTAGTTGATTTTTATTTATAGCTCTTTGATGGAAATAACGTTCTATTGAACAGATTATCTATTTTCCAATGAAAATGTTCACATTATGTGCCTCGGTGGTTGGTCCTAAAAAGTTATGCCTTCCACAGGTGCCCATTTCAAGAAATGGTGTATCATGCAATCAAAGATCAAAACAGGAGCAGTTGATGAGGTCTGCGATTCTAATTTCATACTAAATCCTTGATTACTGGCTTGCATTTAAAAAAATTTCTTATCGTTAACCTGGTTCATAGACTCATAGTTACTTGTTAGAAGAATTATTCATATCCATTGGAATTTCAGTTGGGAATATAGCTATAGCAGTGCTATCACATACCCTAAATCAGAGATAATGTTTCACTATTATGATTAGGATATTATGAATTCCTCCTCCAGCTTTACTTGGCTTTAGGTTTTGGTACGTATGGACCATTTTAGTGTTTCCACTGGTTGTATAGCCTTTCGAACTAAAATTTTATTGAACTTTCTTTTGTGTTCTTATTACTGGAAACAGTGGAGTACTCGCTAAATGGGAAATTATGTCCATTTTCCTTTATTATCAGCTTATATTGATGGGTTTCTGATGAAATCAATCGCATATATTTTCTACTAAATGCAAATGGGTCATAACCATATCTGTGAGGTGAAATCAGTATATTCGTGATCATGCAAGATGGAGCGCGTGGTTGTAAATTAATGGTTTAATTGAGAGTCATGTGGACTGACTTTTCTAGCATAAAAGATTCTTATTTTCCATAATGCATTCACGCTTGTAGCACTTGTTACAGAACATATTTATTGAATTTTTGCAAAGTAAAACTGTCCTTTTCCATCATTATTTAGACTTAAATGATTGTATTCATTATGAAATTGACACTCATAATTGCTTTTCAGGATTTTTCTATAATTAGACTCTTCTACATGTCTACATTAAATGCCATCAAATGATTGCGCGTTGATGATTATTAAATTAAAAAAAAAACTTATCTTATTGATTGAATCGGCATCTCTCCTTCTGGTTACAGTATAAAAAAGAGGTGGAGCTCATGTTGGACGTTGCACGATCATATCTCATTAGATCCAAGGGATCCAAACAAGAGGTGATGGAGGCATCTTCTGCTCCGTTGGAATCTCAAGTGTAGGAGCAACAACAATTCATAAATGCTTGTTGGATGCTTCCTCCGCATTCCCTTTACAAAACCAATTATTCATCACGTATGACTAGATGATACACAGTTTAGTTCTCTGTCCGTGCTGCTATTTATTTCCATTGCTAGCCGACCTTTTTGTTGGAGTTGCAGTGTGCGATGTTCATAGCTTCATACCCTTATCATGCCTCCCTATACTTATAATTTCATTTTCAACTTTAATGTACCTTCAGAACTCAAAAAAACATTTTTACACAGTTGCTAGATTGCATCGTACTTATGTAAAATTTACTATTTTGGTTATAAGAGAATTTTATGGTGCCAAAGTGGATTTCTTGTCATGAATATATCATGTTCTTCCTCAATATTTTGTCTGCTACCCAATAGCATACTTCGAACTCAAACAGCATTATGGAGAGAGTACTATGGTTTTGCTCTTCATATTTGTATCTTGACATTTGAGTATTGCCACAATGAAGCTTGAATACAATTACGTAGTGAATTTGTGATATTGTTTCTTTTCTCATTCTCTTTGGTTTGCTGTAGCTGGCTGTTTTGGTGGGACTTTTTGTTGCTCAGAAAGAAAAAAAAAAGTAAAAAACAAAGATTCCTAAAGCATTGCTGTAGATATTCCATTCGTAACAGCAGGTTCCCTGTCCATGTTGAGTTGAAGGCGTTTCTTATAGGAAAAATTGCGTGCTTCAGAAAAAATCTCAGCTGAAATTGAGAGCTATCAGGTTTGTAATTTCTGCAGTTTTCTTAGTTAACACGAACTTGGACCTTCTGGGTTCAAATTTTTTATCTGACAAGGAGCGTTGTTCGAAGAATTTTTTGATGTAGTTTTCTTCCCCTGATCAAACTTTCAGTGAACTGCAGCAGTTGTACATGTAAATAGTTTTTATTATTAATCTAATTCATATAATTTGATTTCAGTAATTTTGTGAAACTCCCATGCCAGTGCATTCTTAATTCTCATGTTTGCATCATTTGCTTTGCCTCCTTCATGATTTGTTTCGCTGACATGTAAATAAATAAAGGAATGAAATGAAATTAAAAAAAAAAGTTATGGGCTGATTATAAAATTGCAACAATTAATTTGAGCTACTCTTGCGCTCCCCTCTCTCTCTATCCGGCATTCTTTTTGGCCATCTACATGGAATGCTTTAACTTTTTTTTTTTTGCCTCAACGAAACTAAATTTGTGGTCTGAGTAGAGATTAAACAGTAAACAAAATATCTCTTAAGGTAGAATTAGCTGAGAACATGGTTATTTTTATTCATTTATAGTTGCTTATGCATAACTAATTAAGGTTAAGCTCCCAACCAAGGCCAATACAACAACCACCAAAACATAGCATATTTTCAAGCCGGGTAACATAATAGTTGCAGGACTTCGATTCAACCTTACTTCAGGTGTGGATTGTTAGCATTTGTGTACCGGCAACTCCGACGGATCTCACCTTGCTTCCCTGTAAGAACTCCCAGCCCGCCCATTCGAGTCATGGAAAGCGCAAAGAACTTGCGCAGATCTTCAAATCCTGCTGCAAATTCGTGTGCAATTCTGATGCCATCTGAGGTCGTGATCATCTGCTGATCCTCTGTAAACACTGCTTGGTGCTTCAGCACCCTTTTGTAATAGGAGCTCTCAAAACTGTAGTTTCTACCAGAAGCTGGATTCAAATAAACCTTTTTATTTTCCTTGCTTCCAGGTGGGCATTTCTTCTTCAGCTGGGCAAGGAAGTTTGGGTCCATTGAACTGTCAGGCCGACCTGTGCCGTTGAAGTTGTAGAGCCTGTCCTGTATGTTGCTGCAGTGTGTCATCCCCACTGAATGTGCTCCTGCATGAGATGATTTTGTTTCTGGTAAGTTCTGTAAATCCAGTAATCCAGTTTCAACATATTGATTTTCTTCATCGGTAGGGGACTCTCTTTTTGGAGCTTAGGCTTCGTTTGGGATGGCTTTCTAGTTGCTTCTAAAAGCAACTTTCTAGTAAATTTTTTTTTTTTAATTTTGTACTAAAAAGTTGTTTTAGAAAGCAACTAGAAAGCCATTCCAAACGAAGCCTTAATTACCTAGAAGAGTTCCAAGGTCGAGAACATCAAGACCCTTGGATTCGAAGTATGCTAGTGCTTGTTTCCAGGTCACATCTGGCGGTGGTAGATCAACTGATTGTGCTGTGGACTGTAAGCCATCTCTTCTCCCTGTGTAAACCGGGTATTTTGGTGCACCTGCCTGCGGGATAGCATAGATTTAGCTCATTAATTATTTTTTTTGGGAATTCTAAATCACAAATTCGCAACACCATATTTACAAGCTTCAAACTCAAGATCTTTTGATTGAAAGCCTAAATTCTCAACCGATAGGACAAACTAGGCTACAATAGCAATAATAACAATAAAAAATAGTTTAAATTTTTGACTGATTAGTCTGACACTTCAAGTTAGGAAAGTAGAGGTATTAGATTCAACTTATGTTATGAAAGGTAGAGGCATATCTAAAAAGACCTGGTTAGAAAATATTAGAAATGATATTTCTTTATTAGATTTAAACGAGAATTTGACTTTTAATAGGACACAATAGAGACAAAGGATTCATGTAGTCGACCCCATGTAGTGGGATAAAGGCTTGATGTTGTTGTTGTTGTTGTAGTCTCACACTCCTAGTATGCTGGGGACCTTACTATGGGTGTTTGACCAATCCAAACTTCGAACTGAATGGCACCTTCACCTAAACATTTGATTTCAGCTATACATCGGTGCCTTGACCTAAATATTTGATTTCAGTTATGTATCACCAACATCTATAAATCATTGGCTGAGCTCAGTCACCAAGAGTTAAAGGAGAAATGTAAGCTGCTCTGAAGAATCTTCTTAGAATCGTATAAATTATGTAGCTTTATGATGGATCTGAATTCTTAGCTAGTTGGCCATGTATTGAGTTTGATAGGAATCTTGGAACTCACCATTTATAATCAATGCAGATCTTCATAGGCCCGAGTCAACTCATCATGCGCTGAGATCCTTCGATATGGGAGAAATTTTTGGGTGAGCAGCATTCACATGTGCAATCAACTTCTTTTTGTATACTTTCGAAATACACATTGTACATGCACAAGTCAAAAGTTGCTGACCTGCTTTTTATTTTTTTTTTATTTTTGGGAGTTTCTATGCGGGTTGATTGCGTTGATGATTAAGGGGATATTATTAGTGGTGCGACCCTCAAAATAATTTTTGTTCAATGTTAATTAACTTTAATTGTTAGATCATCTACATCATGTTTCTTGCTAATTGATCGATCACCTAACCTACACTATGATGTTATGCTAATTGAAGGCCTCACTTTGCGGAGGTCGAACGCCGTTTGGAGATCAATCAGAATGCGCCACCTCACCTCGCTCTCATTATCGCGGCTCAGTATTGCTCGGTACCGCTGATGTGGCACATTCTGATTGGTATCCGGACTGCATTCTACATCCGGTTTCTGTACATAATAATTTCTCCACTTTGGGGTCTGGACATGACTTTGGTCTTCTTTAATTATAGTCGCTACATTATACTGGGAATCATTCAAAAGCTGGATTTGATTCAACAAATATCCAGTATTTGACTGTTTGCATTCATTTTCATGCTCATCTCACAGAGCACTCGGCACCGAGCAATACCGAGTGCTCGGTACCGAGCTCCAGGTGATGTGGCGAGTTGTTATTGGTCTCTGGACGCGTTTGGTGTCCGGACACAATAATTACTCTTTACACAATCATAAATTTTGAGAAGTTTAGAAATTTATACTGACCAGAGCAACAGCTTCCTTGGCTGCCAAGTTCAAGATGTCAGCGCAGGACACAACTCCTGGGCACCTTGCCTCCAGCACCTTCTTAATATCATCAATGAGATATAAGCCGTTGGTCCTTAGCCCCTGGTTCTGAATAGCATACTTCTCTGTATTATCCCCATCCAAAAGGATCGATGCATCGCACCCCTAATTATGCATCAAGTACAGTATCAAACATAGAAGTGGATTAAAATAGGACTAAATTATTAAAATTAGAACATAAATGTTCAAATTAGAGGATATTTAAATAATAATAATATTAGCATCATTTTATTGTCGTTGTATATTTTTATTTCTGTTAAAAGTTTTTTATTTTTTATATATTTGAATGTCTTGATATAATTTTGTTTTTAAAAAAATACATAAAGTAATAATATCAAACTCTTATACTATTAGGTGTGAGGTCGGTGGATTATGTCATGATTATTCAACAAATCTTAGAGTTTAGGTCATGCTATTTATAGATATACTATTTTATTTTATGCTATTTATATATCTAACACTTAAAACGTTAATATTACATATTTATCACTCATAAAACAAGTATGAATGCATGGAATAAAATTTGATATTAAAATTTTAAGAGTGGTATATATATATATATATAACATCAAAGATCGAAAGATTTTACAAACCATCTTATTATATTTTGTAAAAAAATCTTATAAAAATTCCCAAATGTCTTAAATTTTTAATTATTAATTATTACCGTAACAAGGCAGTCGGAGTAAAGGAGGCGGAGGAGGGCGGCGGTGACTGAGCGATCAGCCTTCCATGCACTGTTCACCATAAGCTGAACAAACTCCTCTGCATGGGTGCAGCTTGTGTTGTACTTGTAGTAATGGAGCATCAGGCCATTCAGAGGGGCCACACGTGCGCTCAAGTCGAACAAGTTCGCACATGTGGAACCCCATACTTGTAGCAGGAGTAGCAGTAGCTGTAGGACTAGCTTTGGCCGCCATTGCTGCACTCTGTAGAGCTCCATATTGTCTCCCTCTTAATTTCTGCTAGTTCTTTGTTCTATGGCTGATCCAATCTTCTTATAGAGCTTAAGGGGTTCAAGAAATGGTGGTGTAAAGTTGGTGCTAATCACGCGTGCTTATATTATTAAATGCTTGAATTGTTATAGTTTAATATTTTTTAAACAACCGAGGAATGTTCGCTCTTGGCCTGACACTCGATCGAGCAGTCTGGACCTCCTAAGTGATTGTCAGATTATCTCTCATATTTATAGTTTTTTTTTTTTGAGAAATTATTATGTGCAGAGAGGCCGGACGTAGAGATTAATCAGGTGCATTTACATCAGCGGTACCGAGCCACGATACCCAACGAAGGGGTGATGTGGCGCATTCTGATTGGTTTCCGGACGACGTTCATATAGAATAATTAATCCTTTTTGGGACCGATTGTTTTGCTTTTCAGGTATCCATCATAATTTTATTTGATTATTATTTTCTCACAAGTTTTCGAAAATTTTTATCATGGAATGTTGATTTCTACAATCACACAAAAACCCATTGTTACACTAAGGCCGTAGAGCACTCATAATCAAAGAGTATCATACCTTTCAAAGTCGAAGAACTCGGAAATTAATACGGTCTCCAATAAATCAAAACTTGGATGCCACCATAATTCACCACAATGCTCTCCTCAATCTCCTAGTGCTGAAGGACTCCATGGAGATTATAATGAAATCTTTAGTCCAGTTACAAAGTTTCCTACAATTTGCATCCTTCTCATCATAGATCTTCAACCAGGGGCAGACCCCTTTATGTTAGGAGGCAATTAACAAACATGGATCGCTATTGACATATTTTCTTGTATTGAAAACCCTAAAAGCTAAATTCCAGACAACGCCAGTTACTTATAAGTTTGTCCTCTCCCCCTCTGAAAATTAAGGTTGGTTCCTCCCCTGCCTTCAACGCATTTCTTCTTGACAGATTGAATGAGATAGTATAGATGTGTTAACCATTGGGCTACCCCGACCCACAATGACCAACTCATATTTATCTCCTAAAATTTTTTAAATATGAATTAGCCAACCCACTCCCTTTATTGCGACAATATTTCAAAAGTGTCCATAGCTAACAACCTAATCTTTCACCTCATGATAAAACACATAAAAAATTTCTCTTTCTCTTTCAGAAACATAGCTCACTACTGAAGATAAAAGTTTCATTATACTCATCACTACTTGGCTGTATTAACTATTAACAGAATAAATTTATCATTTATATTTATATTTATTTAACCGAAATAATGTTATATCATTTTCTCAATATTTTTTTTTAGTGTAAGGAGCATGGTACCCTTTGCACGAATTTTACAGTGTGTGCTCCGATCAGAATTTAGTCTATCATTTGCACATGCCAGGGGTATTTTATAATTTTTTTTTTTAAATAACTTTCTAATAGAAAAAATTAAAAATTTTGTACTTAAAGAGCATTGTTTTAAGAAGTAATAAAAAAATCATCCCAAATGAAGCATAAATCAGCTGGCAGTTGGCCACTTTTTTAAAATAATAATAGTCCCCCTAAATAAAAAAAAAAAAAACGGATCATACACTTCAAATTAGGGTTTCATTTAAGATGAAATTTTTATTACTTTTTAAAATAATCCTTTAGTGAAAAAATTTTATGAACTATAAATTTTTATATTAAAAATTTAATTTAGAAAGCAAGAAGCTGCTCCAAATGAAATCTAACTTATATCTTTATTTGGGATAACTTTTTATTGTTTTGCTTTTCTACTCCATCATAGTTTTATTTGACTGCTATTTTTTCATTATTTTTTTTAAAAATTATGTGTCAGAAAATTATTTTCCTACAATAAATTAAAAATTTTTAATTTTCTCGCAACAGCTTTATAATTACTCTTACAAAATATTGCAATAGACCCTTATTTATACTCCAAAAAATACATGTTATTTTAAATATTGAACATTTTTCAAATAAGGATTTGATCCTAATAGCTTTCTGGCTTCTTTACTTTTTAAAACAACAATCAAAATTTCATTTTGATTATTTTACATTTTAGACAATAATCATAATTTTATTTTATTTTTATTTTCTTGCTGCTTTCTCACTATTTTAAAAATAAAAAACTATTTTTTTACAATCATTTTAACAAAATTATTATTTTTTTCATAATAATTTCATAACCATTTTTTTAACAGAAAATAAATAAATTATTTCCTTCAATCCTAAGGACCAAAGAAGTCTTGCTAGCTCTACCTGTAATTGAAGTCTTCTGGTATTATTACAATTAATTTACAAATATACCTGCACGGTCACTATCTGTAAATGAAAAAAAAAAAGGTACGGTGGAACACCCTGTTCGTGGGTCCACGAATCTATCAGGGTGAAATTGGGGTGCGTTTTAATCGGTGCGGATTATTTTGCTTCGATTTTAGGGTTAACTTTACCCGCGGAGACGGCAAAGCGACGGCGCGGGAAGTGCGGTGGCTCACGTGGTGGCGGAGCGGGCCTCGACGACGTATCACGTGCCGCGGCTTGATTTGAGGGTCACGTTTACTTTGCCCCTATATAAAAATTTATGCGGCCCGCTTTCACATCGATTGATTGGAGCTTAATTTTAGGTTTTGATTTTAAAGGGCATATGTGTATTTATAATTTAATTACTTGAAAATTTTTAAAAAAATGAAAATTTTGACCTTATATTCTCATAGGGCGAAAATGCCAATTAGTTATTTTTGCAAAAAATATATTTAAAAATTTATTTCGGACCAAAATATAATAATATAATTACAAACTACTTATTAAAGTTCATTAAAAAATAGTTCAAATGAAATTCGAACCAAAATTAGAAGACATGTTTGAACATTTCTTAATAGAGCCCGCTAATTGGGGGAGGGGGAAGGGGAAGGGGAAGGAATCGACGAGGCCAACGATATGTAAAGGAGAAAAGAAGCTCAAGAGCTCATTGGGGAAGACATCAATATGATCAGTGATATGTGTGGGTGTAGATCATAATGAATCTCATTGGGGGAAGGCATCAATGAGATTAACGAAGTGTACATGGTTAGATCATGATGAAACTCATTGGGAGGGTAGGCATTAATAGGATCAATAGTAGATTGTGATGAAATTCACTTGTGGGAAGATATTGATGGGATCAGCAGGTTGTGTGGGGGCATATCAGGATGGATCTTATTGGGGAAGACAACAACGAGATATACTGAAAGTGAGAGAGATATGAGGTTTTGTAATGGAACTCATTGTGAAGGCATAGTTGAAGTATAATGAGTTTAGCTACGCAAGAGATCTGCAAACATAGGTTTGAACTTGGTTCAAACTAGGAGATATAACTTTGTCCAAAATAGAAATTAAACATATTACTCAAAGAAAATAAACAACAAGAATATTGCTCCAATTACAAGTAATATGAGGTATATAAAGTCAAATTTTTATGAGAAATAATAAATATAAATGCAAAAGTCTCAAAACAAAACTATGAAAAATAAATGTAATTATGAAAATACGAAAATGGGCGTGTGGGTGTCAGATTAGACGATGACTAATGACAATTATCATTTTCTAGTGTGTGTGGATTAGCTAACACCATGAATGAGGTCAGCAAAATGAGCTAATGGAGTTACAATTCTCAAAATTTATCTTGGTCATCTAAAAATTATAACGGTTCTTGAGACTAGTTCCAGAGAATAACTATTAACATTTAAATAGTAAGATAATAGTGTATGTGCTAAAATTCATTAATGCGAGTTGATTTTACTTCTAGGAAAAAATTAAAATTTTTTCTAATATATGGAGTGAAAGTAAATAAATAAGGATTGCATATATCAGAATAAAAAATAATAGATTTCTCTCATGTCCTTATACCTTCCATCAGAAATAGACCCTTATGACTCATTGTGCTACATCATATTAGAAAACACATGCCCTTATAATTCTCATTTCTTAGCTTATATTAGATATTCACAAAATCAAGCTCTTATGATTTCATGTACATTTTGCACCAGAATAGAACTTCTACCACACATCAGATTTCCTTAGAATCACACACTTAAAGTATATAAGCATATAACCCATTGCACTGTAGTAAAAGAAATGTAAAAAAAATCAATTTTAAAATGTCACATAATGCTTTATCGGTAGACAACATATTCAAATACTGAGCATAATTTCACAGTTTTAGAATATCACCAAATTACGAAGAGTTGTTCAAAATATTATTTTAACCTTTAATTATACTACAACATTATTTTTTGGGGTTAAAATTACTTTTTAGTTAGTTAAAATAATGCATTTTTAAAAGTACCACGTGTAAATTTTTTAGAAAAAATCCTAAATACTTGAAATATCTAGCTGTATGACATATAAAAGTTACATTGTGAAATTTTTTTTGGTATAAAATTATCCTCATTTTTGTAATATGAATTTATAAATTAAATCAGAAAAATTCAAAATTTTATATATTTTTGAAAATTAAGTTGATAGAATGTAACCTACCTCGATCCGAACATCTTGCTAAACTAGGCCAACAACAAAAAAAATGAATAGGAAGTGACAAAATCTAACTTTTTCTCACTAGAATCTCTCCCTTTCTTTCTATGAATAGTTGAAGGGGTTATAAATTTTTGATAAAAAGAATATGAAATGGATTTGGGTATTTTTTATAAAAATTTTATCTAGCACCACAATGCTTGACCCTTCAACGCTATAGTACTTGACCCTGTGACGCTACAGTACTCAACCATGGAGTACTACAGTACTCGACCCAACAGCATCGTAGTGTTAATTCATTTCCAAAAATCTACTAGAAGCTCAACACAATATTGACAACCTTGCATTGCAGCACTCCAAGGGGAAGAGATTCTAAATTTTACATACAAGCCACTTCAAAATAGATTTAAATACACGCATGCATACAAGACACTTACAAACAAATGCAAAGAAACATAAATTAAGAAGTTTCACTTCATTACTCTTACCATACTATGTTGGA